CGACAAAACGAACGAAACGAAACGACGCTATCAACTCTACGCAGCTACGTTTAGCCCTCGACGGTCGCTACACTAACTGCCGCTTCTTCGCTTGAATTTCGACTACCCCAACCGCCGCGGCCATCCCGACCAATCACAGTCAACTGTCGAGTCCCCCTCCCAAGACTCGTCCGCTGACGCCCCCACCGCCAATCACGCGCGAACCCGCCATGATCCCGCCGTTCCTCGCGATCCTCTTTCGAACAGTGATCTCTGTTTCTCCTTCGAAGATTTCCCGACGACGACTGCCCGCTGTTCAGCTGTGAATCCCGATGCATCGCGACTCGGTGAGTTGGTTCTTCATTGTAAACATTCCTCGTCGACTGTCGAGTCGTAGAGAGTAATTAATCGACAGGATTAACCTTCCTTGGACGTGGCTACAGGACTGCTAATGTGGCCTTGTTGAATCGTATTTCCATTCGTACTTGATGAGTGATAATATTTAGCGGTGGGAATAAGGATGAGAATGACGAAATACTGGGAAAGGCTCTACGCGTATCGAGTAGGATTAAGCACGAGTATAATCCGCGAACATAGGGTTCGAATGATATGGCGTATGACGCTTTCGTTGGAAATGACGCGGTATAGTCGAGTCGTATTCCGAACCGTATGCATATGGAAAGTTCGTGGAGATTCGGATAATTGATTTTGTAGAATAATATCGGTTTACTTACGCATTCGATCGTGCATCAGGAGTTAGATCGTCGTATAGGCCGACAAATGCAGCGACCACCTGACGGTCAAGCGGGTGAACTAACGTGGCTCCTGAAAGTATAGAAACCGCCATCTTCTTCTGTGTATCTGGAAGTGTACCGACAGGCAATCACAGCCTTATGTTTTTAGGATATATGAGATAGGATTATGATAATTTATAATTTAGGATAGAATTTTTTGATAATTTCGAAGGGCATTATGTAGTGATATAGTGGAATGATCAATTTTTATAAAAGGAAGTTTCTACTATCATCGAATGTTTAACCAGTTGCGTGCCTTCAGGCGTCCATTTTGATTCACGATTGTAACCGCTAGATGGTCATAGTTGCATTTTGGCGGAATCAGAGAGCGTTGTTTTCGTTATGAAAAGACGAACTGGGTTAACCGGAAGTGATTGATAACAGTATGTTAAAAATGACTACATCCTTTTTATTATACAAAAAAATCAATAATTTGTACAAAAGGGTGTATTATTACAATGTAAACTGTTCGTAATAATTCGAACACTCGTAAAGTATCCACCCTCGGAACAGAAGAAGCGAACATCGGGAAATCCAACTCATCGCAACGCGAATATTAATCACGTATCTCAAACAGATTTTCGTGAACCGCACACCTCACCCGCAGAACTAGAGCAGTTAGAAAGAACGCACATCCCTATACAATTCGTACACGACTGGCACGAATGCTATATAACAAATATATATATATATATATATATATATATTATGCGTATCGTTTATTTTGTGTGAAAAAGAAAAATATTGCAACGTGGCATATCACGTAAAGGTTTTATTTCGTCTTTACGGGATTAATCGGCAATAGAGGAAAGTACGATAATATTCGAGCAAAAACTAATTTAAACAATTCGACCTCCGACGAACTGGAATAAGAAAAGTATATATCGTTTCATCGTTGGCCCGAACAGCAACGCGACACTTTCTTTCTCTCTTTAAACAATTTATTGAACGCGCTTTGTCCCCACCACCGTTTGTACTTGTTTTTTCATTAAATTCAATTCGATGATCCCCGTACGCGGGGTTTATTCCATTCGAAATATGGAGATTCTCCAGTTTAAAAACTCCGTGTAATAAAAAGGAAGAACGTTAAAGATAATGAACTAACATAGATTGCGTAAAATTAGCTAGATTTGTTTTGGAATTACGATGATTGAGCTGCCAGCATTTCTTCTTGCTGTATTTTCCTGCGATAGTTGTCCAAAGTGACTTGTATAGTCTTCTCAGAGTATCGGCAGTTTTCGGCTCCACAGGTACACGTGAACGACTTGCATTTTATTATCCAGAACTTTTCTCCGTAATCAAAGCTGAGGGCAAACAATTCCGTATTGGTCTCTGATGACAGATTCACATTAGCTTAATAATTGAACGTCGAATAGTTTCCGCAAGAAATATTCTATGATTAGTACTACGTACTCGTCTCCGTGAACAATCAACGTGCCAAACGTACCCGATGCAGAGAAAAGCAAACTAGGAATTCCAGAAAGAACAAGGCAAAGCAACTACGAACTACCAGTGAGAAACGGTCCAACCAACCAAAACCAAATATTAGTTCCTTTTTTATTAACCAAAATAATTATCGTGCGTCACTAATTGTACGACGTTTACATGTGGTCCTGGCTTCCCCACGTGTCAATTCTTTTCATTTTCTGTTTCTTTGTAACATACCCGAGCTCTTCGTCCGCTTCGATGTCGCGATTCGCGAAGAACGCTATCCTAGGAAAATGCAAATCCTGATGCTCGACGAACACTCGCACAGGCAATAGATTAGGTGCACAAGAATGATTTATAAAACGAGCGATATTCCCGTAGCGTCTTGCATCGATACAATAGGTCTCTCCGTCCTGTATTATTGGGAATAAATCAAACATAAATCGGACGTTCACTTTCGACCGCATTCAATTCTGCTCGATACTCACTCTATTGTCTAAGTCGAATAGATACGAATCATCTTCTCGATGATCGGCTTCAGAATCAGATATAATCTCTCCAACGTATTCACACACATAGGAACCTTTAGGAATGTGTCGCAATGTTCTAAGACCCCAACCTTTACCCTGCGTTCTAAATAATTGGAATCTTTGCGTCAAACCGTGTTGAACAACCCGATTGTTGCACGTTATACGATTGCAGTCACAAGCCGGATTACACTCGAATAACATCGGAGGATCTACATTAAATAGATAAATATATGTACATGTACACATGTATATGAATATTTCATCACGCCCTCGTTTCAACACACACGGTGTATATATATATATATGCATTCAACATACCTGCATAATTGAATTCAGGAATTAGCTTTCCTTCCTCGTCGTACCAACATCTCAGACTTATATTTCCACATAAACATTTTTCTGAACTGCAGTTATCTTCGCAACGACAAGACTGCAAAGATGTTATCGTACGGTCAACATTTATGCTACTAGTAAAACAGTTCTCAGTCACGTACAGGAAATCTGTTGGCTTATCTTCCGAGTCATACCCGTTAACGCACTGAATAGGATTCGTTTCTTTGCCGCGCGAAATATCACTGGAAAAGTAGATATTTAACTATACCGTCGTATAGGTATTTAATTCTACTTATCATTGTATCAAAGTCGAGATAATCACTTAGTTAAAATTTTTACTGTCTTCTCCCACATATGTTCCGAAAGTTCGTTAACCTTAGCATTTAATCTTAAAGCGGACATAGTATCCCCATCGTTTGTACAACAATTCACTGCTGTTTCGCCCGCTGCATTTGCTTCGCCTATCTTAGCACCACGAGCCAATAACAGGACACTCACCGCGTACTGATCTTGTCTTGCAGCTATGTGTCTAGAACGTAAAACATTAATAAAGATCATCTGGTATTACGCTCGTTACCGTCTAGATAACATGAAACTTACAGAGGTGTGTCTCCATGAACGTTAACAGCGTTCACGTCGCATCCTTCGTTGAGAAGCATCTCTGTAATTTCTGAACTTCCGCTGTACGCGCTCCAATGCAACGCTATGTTCTGTTCAGCGTCCCGAATCAATGGATCGCATTTCTTATCCAGCAAAAATCGTGCGACATCCGCATGACAAAATTCACAGGCCCAAATTAAACTCGTCCATCCGCCATCGTCCACGGAGTCTAACAAAGGATCGGTAATTATTTGCACTGTACGGTATTAAAGCCGATCGTACAATATGCTGGTAGCATGATAAAATCCTCATTACCTACTAATGTTCTCGGTGCTTTGCATTCCGTTAAAATTATTCGGCACACATCTAAATGCCCCGATTTGGCAGCCATATGTAAAGCAGTCATACCATCCTCTCCTTTCAGTGTAACGTCGGCGCCTATCCTTATTAAATATTTTACTACATCAGCTTTACCCTTGCTGGCAGCTAACATTAAAGGCGTTAACTGATTTCTATCCATCAAGTCTAATTGAGCTCCAGCTTGTACTAATACATGTACGCAAGATAAGTGACCCTTATCTGCAGCTATGTGAAGTCCGGTTCGATGAGCATATTCTCGGAATGTATGGTTTGCATTATAACCACATGCTAAAAAGGAAAAGAGCTCGTTACAGGCTTGTCGCAAAGTGAAAAGCGAACCGATATACGTGTAATAATGTACCTAAAACGTTAACCAACTTCTCTAGATCCCCATTTTTCACAGAAGTGTAAAGACTCATGATAGTGTAACGCTCTGGCCTCTCGGAATTGAGAGACGGTTCAGGCGTTTTGATAACTTCAGGTGGAATCAAAGGACTAGGGGGACGTTCTGCCAATTTCGTATTGTCACCTTTTCCTGGCAAAGTTATTTTTGCAGAAGGTAACTTTGAAAATTTTTTACGAGTCGGAATGAACACAGGTTTTCTGAGGCCACCCATAGTGACCATCACATCGTATGCTGTACTTTCACTTCCACAATGCGGACATACCCCTTTCTTATTCGGATAAATTTCACACTCACGGTGATATTGATGACCGTTAATGCATTGTACAAACCTTCCTTGAGAACAAAACAGTCCACACGAAGGACAACAATTATGCCTTAAGAGCCTCTCTTTATGCATTCGACACAAGATTATGAAAGGGACGCGAGTACTCGGTCTCCTCATTGCAACATCATTGCTATCGACCTCGTTGCAACATCCTACCAATCTATTGTCAATAGAATCTATTGCAGTGCAATATAGTGGTGCCCCAGAACCAGTTATTGTCACATATAACTGCGACCTTACTTGGCACAAACATAACATTGATTGACCATATGTCTAAAATCCACAATATACAATGAGTATGATAGCAGATTTCAGTAAAGTTACTTGCATTTATACGCGTGTACTAACTTCACTCATAATTGCTGTTGATTCTGGTTTTGAGGCTTGTCCTTCAGCAGGACTAGGACTTGGAGCCATACTTCTGCGTGTCCTTTTGGCAGGTACAGTTCCTTCTATGAAGAATATATACATGAATAACTTTCATGATTAATGAATATATGTATAAAGTATTAATATTACCTTCAGGATAGTCATTGTTTTTGCCTGTTTCTGCTACAGATGCAGAACCATCTGAAAAAGGATATTTCTGTATATTCCAATGTATTATACAAAAATGAAAATTTATATTTATTTTAACTTGATACCTTCAAATAAATCTGCCTTTGCTATTTTTCTTGCACCTTGACTTCCTCTAGGTCGTCCTCTTTCACGTTTAGGTCTACCAGTAGCAGGCTTTAAAAATGGTTTTTCAATGTCTGCTAAAGGTACTTCATCGCTTATTGGACTCCCAAGAGAATTATTCAATTTTGACTGAGATTCTGAACTTTTTATCATAGGAGACAATTTTGGCATACCCTCGAAATCGGATGAGAAGTTTTGAGAATCATCCAGGAGTGTCTCATTAGCACTAGTCTCTGACATAGTTGCATTTCTAGAACATTCTAGTGTTGTGTTTACCTCAGAGATACTAATATTCCCATCAATAATGGAAGCCTCTGCATCCTGACGAATATCAGGAGGCTTAGCTTGCACCTGTTTATTTTGATCTTTTCCTTGAACTACTTTCTTAGGCCTTCCAGGTTTATTGTACTTCCTTTGTTTCTTAAATTGTAAATTCTCCTCTGTGTAATTAGATTTTTCTTTTCTTGCCATGGCACTTTCTAACACAGTACTCTTCAATGATTCTTTGCATAATCTTCTTGCTGAACGTTTAGGACCTGGAGGTTCTTCTGTGTGGTCGCTAAAAATGTCATGGAATGTTTACAAAGTTCACACATAATACTTTACATATTTGAGATGAAGAAAAATAAAAAACCTAAGTGCTCTTAATCTAGGTCGTCCTGTTCTTCGTTTCCTAGTAACAGGAGGTGTGTTGTCTGCTTGATCGCCTTGTTCTGCAGGTTCTGCAGAAGTATCTGGTTCATCAGTCTTTACTTTATCATTGGGAACTATGTCTTTTTCTTCTACTTTCGGTTCAGGATCCTCCTTTGCTTTCTTTACTTCCTCTACATTCTTCTCTGGTTCTTTACTTTCAGGTTCTTTAACAGGTTCTTCCATTCTGCCTTCCTCTGAATCTGATTTTTCAACGGTATCAGAATTCTCATCTGAGTTTTCGATCTTCACAGAAACACCACCAATTTGATCACAGTTTACCAATTCATCAGGAACCAAAGTAAGGTTGGAGGAGCAGCTTGATATCTTGGTTTTTTTACCGTGATCGGTATTCTCGTCAATCGTTCTAAATGTAAGAACAATGCGAGGAATACCGTTGCTATCCTTTTTCAGCATTTCCTGTTTCCCACTATTCTCGTCCTCTTTATGATTTTCGTCTGTCGCCGTCGAACCTGCGGTGGTATTTTGTTTCGTCGTGACAGCCTCCTGATCCCTATCTGCATCGGGTTCCTTCTCGATCGGTAATATTTCATCTGGTTTTGTCACCGGTTTTTCGATCTCTTCGTGATCCGATTTCTCCGATCGATTAATTTCTGTGTTTTTGACGGGACTCACGCTTTTGTTAAATTCATTCGTCATACCCTCGAGGATCTTTTGGATACTGACCTTATCTTCGACCCTCTCAACAGCCATCATACCTTCCTCTTCGCCCCCTTCTTGACAACCCTCCATCGTGGCAGCTTCCTTGCACTTAATCTCTGACATATTAACAGCAGAACTTTTAAATGGAAACTAGGAACCTTTACAATTAAAAGGAGATCTCATCTTGATATCGAGGCAGTGCTCAAATCAACCGCTAAAACACCAAACTACCGAACCGTACTCTAACGACGACGATGTCTTCCGCAAAGCGCCAGTAGTTAGAACGACGATGAAACACGCGTTCAGAATTTCTTTCTGACTGAATACTATCACTGATATACCAACGGGGACCGTGAAAATAACCCCCCGTGCACTTCCCAACAGTCTGACTAATTATATTATCACAGAAACCATTTATTCCAAAGTTTTTCAGAGAAATAACTACGCTACGCTGGCGTGCCCCGCGTAGACCTGGAGGCCATATTGATTGCTCAGGGACGGGCCGATTCGAGCGATGAATTTATTTTTAAAATGATCATCGACAGAGGCCTTTTAGCGTAAAATTATACATTCTCTCTCAGCATTGAAAAGCTAGACGATATATTCCTTCTGTCGTATTATTCAAGGAAAATAGTTTTATAACTAGATGACGATAAAATCGAGTAATATACATATCTGTATTATACATGCTTATAAGCTTATGCACCTATACATGGAAACCAAAAGAGATAATGAATTCTTCTGCAATTTATTGGCCTCACTTGGAATGAAGGAATGCTCTTTCCGGTTTTCACGCTGCACCGTTCAACATCATTTCTCTTAATACGCTAATTTTTTCATCGTTAAATCTAATCTTCCATTAGAAACGATGGACAAAATATTCGGAATCATTTATTCCGGTTCATGTAATATTAATGAAATCGTAGTTACATAATTTCCGAAGTATATCGATCTTCCCGTTTTTATTTATGCCAGCTCACGTAAAGAGGTAATATATAATTGCTACCAGGTCGTACGTGTGACATTATTTTATTATTGAAACAAATCGGTTTATGTAATGTGCCGATATAATTAATCCTATAAACGGACAAGTCGTACGTATTGTTGGTTGGTAGGTTTTTTCTTTGCGAGTTTATTAAAGGAAATTATTGCTGCTGAAATGAAACCATTACAATATGACAATAGCAGCGCGCATGACCGTTCGGCAAAAAGAAATTGCTTAGGATTACGTGGCAGCACATGGTAAAAATACATTCTAACTAATAAGCAGCACCGCTCGCACGATACATAGGGACGGTCATAGATATTGTCCGTTCGTCTTCATAACGATTTCATGATCTATAGGAGCCAGTAGGAACGTACGAGAATGAATGAAAAGAAAGAAAGAATGAGAACGGGGCTCGTATAAATATAAGTTTATTTACATTGCAACAGATCCTTTTGTCAAATAAGCGACAAAGGTGATTACTAGTGTAGACTGAACAAAGTTAATGAATAAATGTTAATTAAAAATAATAATTACAACATTCTAGCCCAGACACGCCTCTTAATTAAATAATATACATTTGTTGAAATTCATAGAATCTAGGAGACGTGAATATTGTGCTTTCTTTATGGAGACGTCGTTTAATAGTTCTTACGATTTGGTTTCCGTTCGATCGACTCCTGACTGCGATCACTGTATACGTTTGGTATTATTACAAACGATAATTAATATGTGAAAAATGTCGCCGTTGCTAAGTCGAGTTGCAGAGATACTGCAAGGCCGCCCGAGGAAGGGAGCTCCCGTTGCGAGTTTTGTTCGAAATTATTCTCTCGCTTGTGTGTCCCTCGATAAAAAAAGAAGCGTAAACGAAGAGTGATAGGAACGGTTTACGCGTTCAGTACGATGCCGCATCTCCTATTAACGATTTTCTTTTTCCTTTTTTCCTGT